TCCAACTCCTAATATTCTGTGATTCTGCGAACCTGCACTAGAGAGAACCTTCAAAACAGAGAAGGAACTTCACCCAAGAGAGCAGAATTTCCATTTAAAGATGCTGCTAAGAATCTTACATTTGGAGGTATAACTTAATGTCTTTCCATCTAAATTCATAACAGCAATGTTAATAAACTACATAACAGAATCCCATATCAATACCACATTCAATAATATCTACTTTGAAAACAAGAAACTACGAAATACATGGAAAAGTAAAACATAAAATGCATTAATGTGAAAAAAGCCAGATGTACCTCGGTAGAGCTGTGATACTGTATGAAGGTGGCAGATATGGCATGACTGAACGGGTCACCGGCTTTGGGAGTCATGTCCTGCTTAACCAAAAGAGCCAAGTCCACCAACTGAAGGGGCAAAAACAGCCAAAAAAACAGGTAGGTTTAGTGACATGGGACTCACTACAAAGTCCATCGTAATAATGAAGAGAGAGTCAGAGGAGTTGTGGGTTAAGGCATATTATTCTTAGTGTTTCTCAGCTGAAAACAAAATTATTCAGAGATATTTCAGCCTAAGAAACCTTTCTTTTCCACTGCTGTAAATATATGGAGTAATTTATCTACCCAAGAGGGCTCGGCTTGGCACTAAGGTAACGTTTTGTTTTCCAGGAAATCCTGCTTTTTAATCCAATTGTGCAATGGGGTTGAATGAGCCTCAACGCACTGCCAAAGGTCACATAGCAGAATATGTGGTTTCAGTTTGGACTTGAATAAAGTTCGTGCTGGACTCCACTCTCCTCTGCAGCCATTATAAAACATTCTGTGTGTGTATCAGATGGATGAATACAGCATAGTGCACATCTGTCAATAAACAGGAATGCAGTAGCTTGGTTCGCTGGAGCAGTGACTGTGTGATTCTAAAGGGGCTTAAAACCTGAGGCTGAAGAACATCCAAGAGTAATTAATTCATTTTAACTAGAGTTAAATCAGTATACGTCCTTACCTGTGCCACAGTCTCATATGCTAAGTATGCCAAAATCTCCATTGCAACTGCATTTGGCTTTATTTCCATACTGCTGCAATCCAACCAGTCACGAAACTTGGATGCTTTCTTTGCTGTCAGTTCAAATTATAATGGAAAAAGGAAAAGTTAAGAACATGTAGGCAAAAATAATGCATTTTTTCCAGTCAGAGAAAATACTGTAAATGTGAAAGAAGGAGTGTGAATGTGACTTGATTGGCCAAGGGATGAATTATCAAAATGCAACTAGTGTGGAAATACTGTTATTTCACCCACAACATTTTTGGAGACCCATAAGCAGCATGAAGTAAAGAAAAAAACCACAGAATTAACTAATCATATGAGAGATTTCAGAAGAAGGAAGGGTCTAATTCTGAGGACAGTAGATGGGACAAAATTGATTTAGAGTATATTCTTGTAAAAGAAATAATATGATTGCATCACATTTTTGATGAATGAGAGAGTACCAGAAGAAATCAACACAAATCTGAGCCCAGACGAAATGATACAATCGTATTAACACTAGCAAAGACAAGTGCAGAAGGACAGAAGAACTTGGAAGTCCTTGTGTTAACTAAACAGGGATTAGGTGTTGACAAGCTAGCCAAAATGATTTGTAGGTGAGCGTTTTTAAGATGTGCTTGGGATATAAATAAGGATAGATGCAGATCTGCAAATGATCAAAATTCATATGAGAACTTTACACTACTAATGGATGAGATCACTGAAGAGAAAGTACAGAGAAAAATACCAGACAAAGAAACATATGATATCTGCTGACAGAGTAGGAGGAGGAATGAGAGATACCAAAGACGAACTGAAAAAACATCATGGAAATTCACAGGAGAACCAAAAAAAAGGGGCAATCTTAGGTCAGCAGTGAACAAGCAGATCACAGAAAGCTGCCAGAAAGGAGCTAGTAATGTAGAGGTATTAATGAGAGCTGTTTGTGAAGACTGGACAACCAAAATGAAGCAAACAGGAGGTGGGAGAATCATTTGAAGCAGCTCTTTCAAAGAGAGTCTTCAGCGAGGACTGAAAAACTAAACAGAAAACAGTTGTAAATAATGGTTATTTTCCTAGGAGGAAATGAGAAGCCTACACTGAGTTACTGAAGACCAAAAAAAGCCCAAACAAAAACACAACAAAAGCAAGAGAAAAAGTGTGAAGGTGAGAGCAGGATCACAAAATGTTTCCTAGAATTTAAGTTTGTAATCCTGTAGTACTTGATCCCTTGATGGACTTTTTCTTTCGCCTGTCTTTAAAACCGCACAGAAATATGTGGTGTCATAATGAAGAGTATTTATTGTTACAACAGGCTTCTTGCAGGCACATCCAGGTTTATTCTCCTGTGACACAGCTTTCATGGGTTTGTATTACAGTAAAAAGAGTTTACTAATTTAAAAATATCAATACATTCAATTTTGACTAAAATAAATGAAAATAAGCAAAAATAGTCTTTGTGGTAGTTTTGAACAAATGGTCCACATGGCTTTCAGTATGTGCAATCTAGTTGAGTTCATGTTACACATCTGAATTTGTGCCTAGGTCTCACTTTCTCTTACTTTTCTAAGTATTTTAATTCTCTTATTCTTTAAGGTCATTAGAAGGCAATGAAAAGAACTGAATAGACATGGTCATTTAAAAGCACTGTGCAAATGCTATTGAGATATTTTTATAGATCACAACCACAGGTCAGCAACATTCAATTTTATTTTGCAAATTTAGGATTTCTTTCTGCTTGTCTCCAGATGATAATTTTTGGGTTTTAAAAATGACTTTATCACAAACCTCTCATTTGCTGAAGTCACCCTAATCTGAAGTATCATTTATCTAATGGCTCACAGACGTATGATGCCAATTTATAACTGAGCTTACAAAACATACTGAATTAGGAAAATCAATGCTTACAAAACATGTTTTCCTACGTTTGCTGACATTTGCTGATACAGAAGATTATTTCAAATGTGTCATTTATTTGCCACAAATGAGTCACTCTTTCTTCGAATTTAAAAGGAAGACCAAGATAAGGTCTCGTTTAAAGACACCATTGTGTTCCAGTCTCTGTTGTAGGATCATGTGCTGTTTTGTCATGATTTTTGCTGGCTCCTTCATCTCACTTTCTTTGACATCTGACCTAAAACCTGAGTCATCGCTTAACCGCCTCTGTGAAGACGTTTTGCTACATGATCAAGCCCGTTAATTTACAGCTCGTTATAGTTGTGGCCCACAAGTACTTCTAGTAAGTTGGTTTTCAGTGCTAGTAAAGCCCTAATTCTGTCATCATGTTATTAGTGTTGGAATGGCGTATACTGATGAATTTGGCTAATGTCGAATAAATTCCACAGCAGGAGCCTACAGCTTAAAATAGAAAAGCCTCTAGTAAGTTCTTTGTGTCTCTGCGGATAGGGAAATAAAAGCAAAATTAGCTGCTCTTCTCTAATTTTAGACGCATTCCAAAAAACCTGCAACCATGAAACTTTCCTAATATGCTGACTATAACACCATCATGACAGACTTCGGGCAAGTATGGGTGCTAATCCATTAACTCTTTACCAGTTTTCTCTTTGCAGTTGTCCACCTCAGCACAGTATTTCAGCGTATAGAAAGCTTGGTAAATATTCAAATAAAACACCCTGTCTGACAGCCTGAAACTATGCTAAATTAACTGTTCCCAGGAGTTGTGCAGACAAAGAATTTAAAGTTTTATTATTGCGGATGAAACAAAAGTCCTTTCAAGAAATACCAGGTTCTGCTGTGCTCTCTATTACATGAAATAATAATTGAACATCTTAATACAGTGCAGCCATTATAATACTTACAGAAACTCAATTGCCGACTTTCACAAAATTCTGCATACTGGACCGAGTCCATCATTCGTGTTTGTCTTTCTGCTCTCTGACAAAAGAGTAGAGGCACATGAGGAATCTTATTCCAACAAGAACTGCGCCCCACCACAGAAAAAGCAGCAACGCGTCCCTGCCATAACCTTTCAGTAACCCACCCAAATTAAACATACATTGAAGCAGTTCAGATGCAGAAATATAAACCGCAGACTAGTTATTAGTCTCAGGAGTTCAATTTTACTCAGAGGAGCATCTCAACTCTTATTTTTAAAATCTGCGTGCACACCGCTCACCTACAACAGGGACAAGGGCTGAATTAGGAAAGGTGCTGAGCACTCCTGCCCTGACTGAGGTGCACATTTAAACTGAAGCACACGAGTAGTCTGTCTACATGTTCACAGAGGACCAGACAAGTACAATGGTCCCCTGGAGCAAGGCAAACGTGTTCTGCACTGAGCAGACCTGAGCCTGTGTGCTTTCAAAATGGCAGCATCAGCAGCAGTGAAATGAATAAATTCCAAAACACTGAGGAGGTACCAGAGAGAGAAGAGCAGTCAAGTGCCCTTTCCCACATAGAAATTCAATACATCGTAAAAATTAAGTGGTAAATGTATTTAATCTTTTTTTCACTCTTAAACTGTGCTTGATATTTTATACTTCTAAACACCTACAGGAGAAGAAAGGAAATTAGGTTGAATTAGAGCTCATTCAAGAAAAATGGCTTAAAACATTTACTACTGAATTTACGAATGTATTTCACACAGGGTCCAGTGTTGCACCAAAAGATTGTAACTCAAAAAAGTCAAGGTATGAAACCATAAACATTACACACACCCTTTCTCATATACACTGTGCCATAATTGAATCACGGTTGAATCACCGAACTTCAGAGTTTGACCATGTGCTTGAGTTTTGTTTGCTTCAACAGAGCAGGGGTGATTTTCACAAGATAAGAATCTGGTCTACAGAAGAGATTAAATCCTTCATGTATCGGAGGCAAGAAGCGGTAGTTAGATTAAAGAGAACAATTACCCCCTTCAGAAGCTGTCAGCTTACTCAAGTCTGTCAAACAGTGAATGTAGATTGTCTTTAACATCAAAGAAAGAAATATAACTGTCTTTCAAACAACTTGATGAATAAATCATTACACCTGGTAAGAACAGAACCGTAACTAAGGATACAAAGTGGTATCAGGAGTGGCTGATGGCACCAAGGCTACTGCTGATGCATGGGGTTACCCCATCTCAGATGCAGAAACTCAATGAAGTTTCTGTTAGTTCAGCTCTCAGGGATTTCAAGACCTGTCTGGACTGAAGCTCCACACACCAGTGTGCCAGCCACTCTTCATTTACTATCATCAACAGATCTGTAGAATGTGCATTTTGTATTTTTGCCTACATTTTTGGTGGGCATCCACATTGTTGATGAAAATATTGAACAATATGGGCCCTAGTAGCAATCCCCAGAATACTCAGTTTTTACCTACTGCCCCCTATGAGTCAAGCCATTGGCTATTACCCTTCACATCCAGCAGTCCCAAGGGCAGTTATGTTGAACTAAATGATTTAGCAATGACTACTCTCAGCAAATAAACTATAAAACTCTGGAAACACATGCTGTCAAAGACTAGTCAATAAGCCTCACAGGATGTTCATTATCGAAACATTGCAAGTTTCTTTATAAGTAACAAAAAATACTAATCAAAGGTTTATTAAAAGAAAGATGTTCTGAGGGATTTTTCCCATAGGGATTTCATTCCTCTCTACTAATTGTCCACAGTAGTTGTCTAAAAATTGGACATAATTTTGTTCTTACTAAATGAAAACTTACACTTATTTTTTCCTCTGTATCTGTTTTATGTAGTAAAATTACCTACATATCATATTGTGAAATAAAATTGCTTTTTTCCTTCAATTCACCTCTCATTCCAGTCATTCTCAAAGGTGGATTCTACAGCAACTAAAATGCCACTAAATAAAATAGCTTTTAACATAAATAACTATATTTTCTTCCCAATACACTTTGACAATAAAACAAACCAAAACATATCATAGCATAGGACATGAACTCACAGTTCAAGGGATGAGGATAGCCATTGCATCAGTCCTACCAGTTTTAGAATAGTCTATAAATAACCAGCAAATGGAGAGAAATGAAGAGATGGATAGTGTAGGTATATCATCTTTAAGGAACAGCAAAGCAGAAGACAACAGCAGACCATCCTTTGTCTTCACTTCTCAAGTTTATGAACAGTAATTATCTCTTACATCATCCCTGCTTTAGTAACATTTAATGTTCCCTTATCTCCACATTTCTAAGGTATGTTTCATAAACTCAAAATGAATCAATGACAGGGGATAAAAAGGGAGAAGAAAGAGTGAGCACGTTACTGTGAACACAGTGTTACTCCAGGCCAAAAGAGTTTAAAGGAAACAGAATTCAAGGTTGGGGAAGTCACAGAAAGTTTGAAAAAATGCTCTAAGTAAAGCTTTCTTTTAAGCCAACAGAATATCCACTGGCTCTTTTTCACAGTCTTTATTTTTCAACTATTTTTTCTTGAAAACAAGAAGTGAGACAGTACATTTTAACTAAGAAAAAACTTCAATTTTATACAAATGAAATTTTCCAAATTCTGTTCTGGGAAGAAGCAGCAAGTCACTCCAACAGGACTGAAGTCCTCTTTCATCAGCATAAAAGCAAGTTTGCTGGGAATCTTTCCTACATGACGTAACACTGAAACCCCTAATGATACGCCACCCTCAAACAAACTCAGCTTGAAACCAGATACAATAAATGACATCAATGACACTGCCCCACCGGTTTATGAAAATAATTAAAAATACATAGTTTTTAGTCCCTCTATAGTAGTCCTAGTCACTCTAAGCAGTTAAGAAGCTGAGTTATGTGGCGTACAGCAGAGTTAAAATACTTTGCATGCTTTCCTTGGAACATGCTGAAGGACGCAGCAGATAGGACCTGGCACAGCAACTGCACATTTAGTCTTCCAAAAATGTGTTGTATTATGTCTTTCTTTCAGCATGAAGAACTACAAAAGAAGACAAAAAAGGGAAAGGCAAGACAAGGTAGAGAGTTGCATGTTGTCACCTACCACCCAGGCTGAAAAGTAACCTCATTTTGGTTCCATTTTAAAGCTTGCACACTTGACATATAAAGCTCTTTGTGGGGGGGGGGAAGGCAAGAGGCCAAATGTGAACTTGCTTACCAACTATTTCGTGTTTGAAGGAAATGTGCCGACTAGCTGCTAAACTGGAACATTTCCAAAACGTAGGCAGCATGGCTGGACACCCCCGTGTTTGGCAACAATGTTCGTGATGAAGATGTTGGCTTTCCAACCCGCTTGCATATTCAGAGTGTGGGGTGATTTCCTGATTTCCTTCGCTAAAGACCTCTGCATTGGTTACCTATCACAGCTGCAAAGGAGCTGGGTGACTACACTACAGGAAAACCAAAATTGCCCTGCAATGACTAATATCACTAAAAGGGTATGCTAATTGTAGTATTATTATTACTTAGACCAGAGAATAACAGGGCACTGTGCACTGTTCCTGACAGCGCTCGGGTTGTATGTCAAAAATTAAAAAAAAAAGTCATTTGAGAAATAAAGTACAAGGTAGCTCAGTATTGAAGAGGTAACAAAATATGCTGAAAACACATTTTTAGTCTCCTGTACCTCGAAATTATCTGAGGATTATCTTTATCTGAAGATTTTTGTTACATAAAGGAAAAATGTATTTACTCTTCTGAGAATCTCTTGAACTGGTAAGCAAAGAAAAAAGGGGTTTTAAGAGTAAGCATTTGCAAAGATTTAGCTTACTCAGAGTTTTATACAGAAAATAAAAATGCCACTTGGGGAAAGATCAATAGCCTTTGTAATGTAATACTTGATTTGCCCATAAAGCACAGACATACAGGGAATTGTTATCATTTTTACCCACCTCTTATAGAACATACCATACATTCTGCAGCAACCATTAATCTGAAGAAGTCTGCATAGCAAACCTGAGGCCTTTGATGTGATCCTGATTTTGAGTGCTCATGTGTTTAGTACAAAGTTCCCAAAATTAGAAGAAAACCTGAGGTCTTTTTCTGGCAGACCAAGATGATCCCAATTTTAATGTATTTTCGCTGTTATAAACAGTAAAAAATAGTTCTTTTTTTTTCTCTACAATATCATTAACTGCATTTCCCCCAGTAAACAAACTCTAAGGACCTTAAAAATCTAAACTTGTACAAAGATGTTAAGTATCTAGAGCTGTAAATGACATGAAAGGAAGCTGTGGATGATGACAAATATTAAATAAAATTGATTTTTAAAAAAATTATAATTTTTCATTATAGAAAATTGGTGATTTTATATCCAGGGACAAAAGATAGGATTCACTTGAACAAGTTAGGCATCTGCAGTATCTTAACTAGTCACCTAAAACCTCTTTGTAGTAGAAAATATAACAGGCATTTTTAGAGAGAAATTACATCCTAAGCTAGATGTTTAAAGTAAGTCAGATGAATCACAACTCTGAATTTGTCTGAAGTTCATCAACTGTGGACCTCAGCAATGGAGCCCTAGGGACTGGCTTAGGTCTCCATGTCCACAGTACAGATGTCCTCAGAAAAACAAGACGAATCCTGCTCTGATGAGCGATGAGTGAGGAACACCATCACCAATGGGACAATTGCCATTTTAGGACTAAGCAAAAGCTGAGGCTACAGAATGACTCAGTAAATTTGGGTCCTGCTCTGATCTCTGAGCAATGCAAGTAGATACAAAGGTGGCTTTGTACCCCGGGTGTGTGTTAACTCCATTCATCTTGTACAATGTAAAATGTAATCTAACAAAGTATGTGCAGATAAGTAGGGGGAAGGGGGCTGGCAAGACTACTTACGATTATGTAAAATTTTCAAGGGAATTACGAAGAAAGAGAGCAAGTGAAATTGCACAGACAATGACAAAATGTATGGATTAATTCCCGGCAGTCATGATCTCATTGCTGAAGGAATAAATAAAACTGACCTCCCTCCTGATAGGGATTC